GTGTACTTATCTCGGATCCTTTGTTAACAACTTATCTCATTTGCTCGTTAATTTAAGATTTTTGTCACGTTTCCTTATGCATTGCTCGATCTATATTATATGTTATCTTTCTCACAAGTGATTGGCTGTTGCTTGATATCCCCAGTGTGGCTGCGCTTGATGTGCATGTTGACAAAGTGCCTGCTTGTCCATTACCCACTACCTCGTCCATACTGGCTCTAGGAGACAGTTGGTCCTTGCTAGAGGGGACGGGGTGCACGGTCCTTGTGGCCGTGTTTTAGGCTCAAGGAGTGGTTGTATGCACTCAGTGTGGAGCGGACTACGGTCCAACCACCGCCTTGTGTGCACTTGATTCCCCAAATACAGCGTGCTTATGCTTGCCTGTGAAGAAGTGTGGGCCGGCTCCATTGATGAAACGTGGCTCCCATCCACATTCCTCTCGGTCTTATTCGTTCTGGTTTACACTAGATATGAGGTGTGTTTGGAGCTGTGGGTGGTGCAGCGCAAGCCACCCATGGTCCCTCTGTAGGCGCAGGCGTCCTGTGGCTGGCCACAGTGACAGGCAAATCCGAAACCGGATGCCGCCGACCATGAGTCAAATTTCACTTTTGCGCCATCACGCATCATTTGTCAGTAAAGAAAAATATTTTTCACTTTGAGTACCAGGTTTCAAGTTCATAGAGTTCGCATGGAATCATGTTGACAGCGTCATTGTAGGCATCCGGACGGAAAATGTATACGATCTTAGTGTCATCGGTAAACAGGTGTGGTTTACCGAATTTTGCTGCGTCGAATATGTCCTTAACATATATTGCGAACAGTAACAACCTAATGCACACTTCCTCGTATCATTCTGCTGATGACAGGTGTAGATTCAGAGTTGTATTCTTGTATTTTTCCCAACTGCGTTAGATTTGTAAAATATTACCTTATCCAGGTAAGCATGTGTTCACTAATGCTGTACAACATCATTTTTTATAAGGCACTCGATCAAAGGCCTTGCGCCTGTCGTGATAAATTAGAGTTGCCCATGTACCGAAATCATACGAGGTAGTTACTTATATTGTTTTGAAATTCCAGCTGACATGTTGTGCATGACCGATTATTCAAGAAGCAATGTTGAGTGTTGTTTATTAGCTTTCTTGATGGTTGCAACTCGAAAGTATCAACTTCGATATGTCGTTCCATAATTTCTGATAATATAGTTGTGTGGCATATTGGGCGATAGCGCTTAAGCTCGAATAGGGAGGAGCCTGCTTTGTGTCACGGCGCAACGATGGCTTCCTTTCACTGAGCAGACACGGTGCAAAGATGTCATCCCCATTCAATTTCACAAGTTCCCAGAGGGAATATTGTCTGGGCCGCCGAACCATGGTAATTTCGTGCACCTGATAAATTTGTGTACGTTGTGGAGCTGTGTTGCGGGCCCATCAAAAATCCCCGCAAAAACGCGCCAGAAACCCCGGCAGAATGGCTGTGGAAAGCGAGGTCCAATTCCTCCGCACAACGTAGCAGTGGTCAGCCACTCTGAGACGCGGCCAAACTACACACCTTTTGACAATGGTCTTTTACAAACTACCACCTCGTCGTGGTAGCAATTTTCCCTAACTTAATAACCCATTTCATTGGCTGTGATTCGCCCTTTGTTGGTCGTAAAATAGCCTTCAAAGGACCGCCTGTCTTGCTTTCCTCTTCGACTTACTTGGGAGTCGGTCGGGTTACGTGATTTTGTGTGTCGTTAGCCAGCCAGCGTTCGCGTCTAAGTCACTAGTGCACGTCCGTTCCGAGGGCTCAGCGTCTACCCTAATACGTGCGGCTAGGATCGTTCTCACGCTTGCTCAATTTCCGTCTCACCGGCTAAGCTAGCGTCATCAATTCAGCGCAACTCCGTTCGATTGGCCAGCGTTACAAGCCGTTATCGTAGGCGTTACGCAATCACAACAGCGGCGTTTCCGTCAATTATAACAAACTCAAATCTGATGCACTTGGGTTGGTCGACTGTGGCTGGTGGCAGGATTTTGCATAGGAGTTTAGTATCCACGTTGATTACGCAGTACGCTAGTTTGAACGAGGTCTGTTGTATTGCACCCGTCGGAGTGTGATTATTTCTTGGACACGCTTAGTAGTTCTGCACCTCGAGACTGATCAGTTCACGTTTTTTAAATCGACTGTCGAGGGTCTGTGTGAGAAGCCAGTTTCAGCGATGTGTCAAAATTATGCTGTTGCATCAAGAATGAGAAGTTATTCGCTTTGCGGTAGGCCGTAAGTAGCTCTTTGAGCTTAGCAACTGCCTTTCGTGAAACCGTTTTTTCGCGACCTGAAAGAAAGTGACTATGTTTGGTAGGAGCTAGGATGTCGGGATAGAGATTAATGTTGTTCTATAGATCATCAGCTGCGGCTTCCTGTTCGCTGATGAGGAAGAATCCTACTGAACATGTCTGAGTAAATTAGCAAACGAGCATTAGTCAACTGATTCACCGTGTCTTGAGAGCATTTGTACCTTTGATGCATTCGTTTTTGGAAGCATAACACATGCGAAGAGAACTCTTTTCGGCAATTCACTTCAGGTCACTACAATTACAAGACAGATAAACGTACAGGTAAGCGAAGGCTGGGGATGTGATTGGTTGAACGAAGTCGTTCAATAGCTCGCTCGATACAGTCAGATCTCATGAGTCGCGCGAGCACGCGCGGAGACGCTCACACGCACAAGGCACTGACGCGTTGGCCGAGAGGTCTACACCGGTCATTCTCAGTCATAACCGCGGTTTGACATTACGGCCACGGCAACAGTATAGATCATATCAGTGTTCTCTGTTTGCACAAATCCGGTTGGAGTATTCTGGTTGCAATGGCTTCAGCAGTGGCCAACAAGCGCTTTCTTATTCCTTTAGGGTTGCGCCTCGGTGCCGTGTAGACTACCTTGAAGGCGTCATTAGTCCGAATCTGATGGCCGGTACCAAGCAGATGTTTGAAGATTGAGCTGCGGACATTCGTAACCATACCATGTTGCAAAGATGCGGGGCAGTGCTCCGCTATTCGCCTAGATAGACACCTGGTCGTATGCCCGAGATACCTAGCACCACAGGTGCAGGTAAATTGATATAGGATGTTTGTTTGTGAATATGAAAGAGACCGCCGCGTGTTGTCACACTACCACGAAAAAGTTCCAAAACATCAGCAGAATCTGGTATTAGTCCAGTGATAAATATCAGATCCAAAATCTTATCCCTTCTTGTGGGAGTTGTAACATGCTGTGTCCATCCGTATGTATATAAAGATGAAATCAGATTTGCATTCCTGGTGCGCACATCGCTCGAGGTCCACGCGATGTCCGGTACGTCGAACTCTCCACCTATCATCCGGTACTTGGTTGCTCGATCCGCTACGTAACAGCACAGTACTTGCAATGCATTAGTTTCTGCGGGATTGGAATTGGAGTGCATGTATACGCACTCAAGGGGTAAAAGGATCTTGTCCAGTGGTACATTTGTGGCAACATAGTCTTGGGGCACTTATGTGACGGGCTATGCACTATATTTTTAATCTCACTTTACCTTTTCTTGGTTCATATCCATCGCTCTTCCTTTTGTATCGATGTCACCGGATCCCCATTAACTCCAGTTATCTTTTGATACCGGACCGTTAAATCATTGGTATTTCACAGTCTCGAAGGAAATTGCATTCCTGCTAAACAGGTGCATTAATTTCCATACCTTTTTACGAGTATTATTGGTAGCGTCAAGTCCTCGAATAACAGAGTGCTCTCCTTGGATACGTAAATCGTCCGTTGGTTCCAATTCTACTCCGTTATTTGGGACAATTATGATTTTTATAGAATTGTGAGACCACTTTCGAAACGGAGGTGCCGTGGCACCATTTGGCGTGTTTTGAAGCACAAATCACTGATAGTTTCTAAAAAAAATTGCATACCTGATTGCTCTCTTTGATCTGGTGATCTTAAGCGTTGCTGGTGTCGAAGGCACTAGCGTGTCTGTAAAGATGGTGTGCGCAGGCGAGTACCATTCGGTGATAATTCCGTTAGTCTGTTAGTTCACCTAACAACTTTGAATAAGCTATGTTGGCTTGAGCACCTGCCTAATCATCACTTACCGAGAAGAGCCTTATTTCGTTAGCCGGATATGGGGCTGCGCAAAGGTCGACTTGGCAGCAGGTGTTTTTAACTCAGCTCTGCGCCAAGACTGAAGTCAACGTGGCGCACTTTGTGTTTCCACAAAAACACAACCTACAGCTGTCACAAATTCTTGTAACGCTGCTTTCCCTCTGCTCTCGGCCACGCCAGCCCAGCTGGGGACAAAACAGAACACCGAGACCTGCTAGACCGAAGTGTATTAGGCACAGAGCACGGTTCATTTTATACGTCACAATCTGTCATCTCCTGTTGTAAGTTCCTGAGCTGATTCAGGCCAATTGCCCTAATGAGATTTCAAACCTGCCACGTAACAACCTGTTCCATGCTGACCGTCTGATTTCATCAGCTTCCCGCGTGACTTAGCGCTGGTACCGCCGTTCGGGCAGCAACCCGTGTCCCGATAATAGGCGTCTCGAAACCGTGTCACATTCGTATGCTGCGGCCTCCGCTTACAAATGAAGCGCTTGCTGTCCTCTCCTAATCGAACTGTCTGTTCGATGTGTGTCTGGTGCTGAGTTATCTGCGAGGTAATGCGTCACTGTGACGCAGGGCAGTGAAAGTCGCACGGAAGCTACCTTGCCAATGCCTCCTTATTGCATCATAGCCAGCTGTTTGTGACCGTAAGTTGTTGACAAGGTGTAAACGCCTTGACCCTGAACGCTCTTGTCTCTAGGTTCTGCGCTACATCCAATTTCTCTTTCTCTTGTTATCCATCATTCCCCATGACACCAAATTCTTATGGCAGCGATGGATCACTGTTGTTGTTGTTGTCGTCGTTGTTGTTGCTACACGTTACCATTGTTGCCTGTAGTCTGCCACAACTTCTTTGCATCCTCACCATTTTCAGAGAATGAATCCATGGCTTTCCGTTCCAACTCTATGGCCACTAAAGCCGTGGAATGCTATGTCAAACTTGTCGGATCTACGGTAAGCATGGCTCTTTCCTTCGCAATACGCACTGCGGCATAATGATTACCTAGCATTCCGAAACGACCATACAACCGATACCGACATCGTGTATCATTTTGTTGGGGTGTCCCGGCGACCACACTCTTTTTGATTTGGGTTGTCTAGTATTCCCCTCCTTACCTGTACGCAGCATTCCCTGTTATCCGACTTCGTTGGTGCTCGAAATCTCATCGTTTAATAGTATAGATGACTGTTCACCTCCGATCAGGTACCTGCGGTTTTCGACATAGTAATGAGCCAATATTTCTTGATCGCAATCATCTTCATTTGCTGATGGCTACTTACCTGCTGGCGAGAGTGTACATTGCTTAAAATGACTTTTACGCCTCTAGTGGTACCTTGAAAGCCGCTTACCTTCAGTTGTATTCGGACCATTTTACCGCGTTGATATACCAGTGGAATTGTCCCCTTTTCCGTGTGTATTCCCTTTTCCAAATTGCTCATTCAGTATACCTAATCTGTTCCACATTGGCTAACCTCGCTGACTCAATCGTTCAAGATTGGCCAACAAGCAGCACTGCCCCGAACACTAGAGGCCGTATCGATCGATATCTATTGCTTATCAGAAACTCCGCTACAAAAGTCGTGGTCTGTGTTCACTCGATGTTCCTCTTCATGTGACACTGGCGACGATTTATCACTGCGTCTATCTGCATATGAGGCAGCTTTGAATGCCAATCAAGCCGGCTGAAGCCGCTCTGACGATTCGACCTCAGTCAGTAGCCGATTGTAACCCATCCAACCAGCTGGCTGGTTCAAAATTTCGAATTCGCACAAGGAAAAGCTTTGCCTGTTTGTTATTGCTGCATATTTTTTAACACAAACTCGATGAAAGGTGACTCGTATCACCAACTGAATCTGCTCCTTTGTTACCGAAATTGTGCGGATACTGTGATGCTGGGTGTCGTTCGGGGAACGCCCAAGTTGGAAAGCTGCCTATTGAGATGTGTAGCATCCTTTCAACCAACATGGTGTAGGCTCCCGTAACGCTAACGGTTTAGCTGTTGCTACACCGGTCTGAAGATGCCCGTCTATTTCTCGCGAGCGCGAAGCGATAGGCATCAGCACTACGCCAGACGCGGTACCGACGCTTCGCTACCCCACAAACATCACAAGTCGCATGTGGGCTAAGGCTACTGCGAGAGTTGCTCGGTGCCTGCGCAGGCTAGAACTCATGCCCATAAATTACAAGAGCAGGCTTGTGATCCTTAAGACTACGGGCTGGCTCGCGAGCACTAACTGCCGATACTGTACTCGCAAAAGTACGACATGACTCACTTCAGCTTCGGGCCACCCATGGACGTAAACCGATCACATCGCAGTCATCGCTGTGTTCAAAACCCTTGCCGACCGGTGGCCGAATGGATCACACGCCCGCCTTGTACTCCGGAGGTTGCTGGTTCGAGCCAGCAAATGAGACCGAGCATCCTCAGCCCACGCGGGACTAGTAGTGTTTGCGTGGCAGCGAAGTGTCAGTACGTCTTCACGGCGTACTGATGTCTATCCATACTTCGTTCGATTCGGAGCAAGAATCTGGATTCCGATCAGGCTTTTGTTTATGCCGACCTTCGGATGCGTTTTGGTGGACGTACGCAACGACGCAGTGAGCGCATAGACAACAGCTAAGTAAGTGATGAAGCCAGATGTTTTAGTGGGCATCAAAGTATATATGAGCTGAGTAGGCGTTCACTGAACACGATTACAGACCACTGGCCGCACGTACGTCAGACGTTATAAGCAGCGGACATGTCTTCATGTGGCAGGTCTGATTGTAAAGCTGCACATTGGCACTTCTGCATGCTCGACGACTTGTTCCGACTGGAAGCGTACATAATGAGACTAGCAAAGATCTCAAGGCAAAACTGCGTGTGAGCCTGAAGCGAGACCGCTAAGCCTGCTGATCTGATCGTGCATCGGAGATGGAGACAACCGCTGTCCTTGGCAACCATCGGAAGTTATTTGGTCTGATAAACGAAACGAAGCGGAACGTTGAGCTGAACACTACAAAGTGTTCTAATCAATGTGAGTTATCACTTTATTTTTTGAGCATTGGTTACTCTTCTCCATCGGTCGTATCTTTGAATCCGCCTTTTATCGCAAAAGTCGGACGTGAGCTCAGACTGCTGAAATCGAAGAAGACCGCAGAGGCAGACTGACTTCCTTCAGTCATGTTCAAATTCGAGTGGGTTGCTTTCGTAGATGGTTTGCACAACTTACCAGTAAATAACTAATTAAATGCTTTATTCCCGGCAATGCTGGACACGCCTACGAAGGCATGATCATGATAATACAAGCGGGTATGGTCGGTATTTGTATGAAAATATAGCAAGTTAGACAGTAACATACTGGACTTGTGTGCATGTACATATGTAAGTGTCGTATTAGTGATCATTGTGAGTGAAGTTGTGAGGTGGGATTGAATTCGTGAGTATTTTTGCCGTGTTCGCCATTGTGTGAAATGATCAATGGAACTCTTCAAATTGGATGACGTTTGGGAAGTGAGGATCCTCCGGAAGGAGAAGAGGGAGTGACTGTATTTAGTGAAGAGTCACATTCGCCACGTCACAGTGTTGTTAAAAGGACATTTGTGGCTTTTTATAGGGAGAACGCTTGCCAGACGATAACCCACCACCTCCTGGAACACTGCTGCCGAACTCTTCGCTGGAACGATGTTAATCCGAACCACGGATGTGGCACTACGTGGAGGTTGTTCGGCTAGCCAGCAGATTGTCCCAACAGACTGGAAGCGATCTGTTATTGTCACAATTTCCAAGTGGGTCTCAGATTCAGAATGCGGTATTCGTAGAGGAATCAGTCTGACCTCAGTTATCTCTAGACTGCTGGCACCTGTCGGTCCACAGACTGGCTGGCACTCGTGAAAGCCTGATTCGCGATTAACCAGCTGCGTTTCATAGAAATTGACGCTGTATTGTCCTCATCTTCACATTATGTAAGTTGTTGGAACGGTGCCACTGATATTGGCGACCCACCCTAGTCGTGTTCCTAGACATCATGCCTTCCTTCCATTCTGTGGATCGATGTACCCCTTGGGACTATCTACTCAAGAGCGATGTGCCTGGCAAATCGTGCTTTCAAATTTCTGAAAGGAACTAATTGTTTTAAATAGCTGTGACAAAAGTGCACTGTACGCGCACAATTTGGGTAAAGTGAAGGTTTATGGCAATTTGTCGGCGCCATTCAATGAGACAAGGTTGCCCGCTGTCACTCTACTTTTTACCTTCGTCATCAACGAGGTGTTGCGTTCATTGGGCAAGACGCACATGCTTTGTAGCTGCTGCCATATGATCAACTTCTTGACGTGGAGTATGCCGACGATGTTTCTTTGATCTGCGACCGCTCCCAAACGTAACAAGTAGCACTGGACAGATTAGCAATGGCTGTCACTTGTTTGGAGCTACGCTTTGTAACCTCGAAATGCCAAGTCCTTCTTCAAGACTTGCAAAAATCTACCGTTTCACTGATCCTTGGTTTTTGATCAGATAGAAGTCATCTAGTAACTCCGGTATCTAGGAATAGATGGTGCGACCATTCAGCATGGTACTCTATGCTGTATTCCGATAAGCATCCAGTTTGCCAAACATTCTGATGAAGGGAATGCAAACAGTTTGGAAATCGCTTCTGGTAGCCAAACAGCAGACCCATCATCGGAACAACCGGAACTAACCTATCACACAGATCGCTCAAATCTACCAAAAATCGGGCTAACGGTTGAGAGTCAGGGGACACAAATCTTGAAGTCAATTCAAAAGCGCTATCCGCTCGTCGATCTATGAGCGACGACTAAATCCGCGGGACTGCACTCGTCGAAAAAGCGCAATGAGGAAGTCGCTTCACATTTTGCAGTGAAGCTTTTGAAACCCATTTGTCAAGCTCGGTGAGCTCGTGAAATCCACTAGCCGTATAGGAAAAGCTCGAGGCGCTTTGACTGATCTTTCGCCACCTATGGTATCGGTGGGACATCATTGTCGCCCTATAGGGCGGAGTTTACAACGCAGCTATGTACGGTTGTGAAACCCAGTCTATCAGATCAGCAGATGTAAAGTCTCTTATTACGCCGGGCCATCGCTGCCTTCGCAGTTTAGCTCATGTCTGATGGGAACAACGAGTGTGCATTGAGCGTGTTCGGCGTCTTGTATTCGATGCAGAGAGAGGACCGCTCAGTACCGTTACACAAGGCACCAGGCTCATGTGTTACGCATGCCAGCACACGGATTCCCGTGACGTGCGCTGTTTGCGCAACCAGGGTCTAGATGAAAGAAGAGGAAGGGGGTCCAAGTATAACTTGATCAAGAGGATTGAAGGTCCTGACTTTGCGTCAGTTGTTGTATACCATCTACCGGGATGGTATCCCAGGAAACATAAACACGTTTGTTTGGATGCACTAGTTGACATGGCCAGGAGCTGTTCTCAATAGAGTTTGTGTTGTGAGTTGCTTTATCTCTCCCCCTTGTTTATCTTCTTGCTCCAATCGTGATCTCACACTCTACCACTTTGAAATGTTGGAAGATACTCGGAGCCTATCGAAAAGTCATAAATATTGTTTCCAAACCTCTCTGAACTTATAATGTTACTTGTTTTTGCCCTCTTCTCCATTCCGTTGCTTATTATCACCCTTTTCATATTTCGTGTCTATTTTCATTTCACATAGTAGCTGGTGTGTTTCTCACCTTTAACTAACCTATAGAGGTGCCGATAATATCCCAACCGATTGGAGCGAATCAGTGGCTAAAGCGGAATCCTGCTTCATTTATCACCGAGCTTTTTTGATAGCTCGTCCCCAGATGAAGCCGGTCATGTCAGTCAAGTTGTTACTGCGCTGCGAATGTCCGAAACGGATTCCTAGTAGATTATTGATTAGGGCGAATAGTCCGGCGTCGAGACATCTGCTTTGGGCCTGATTGTGTACTGCACGCCTGTCATCATTTTACCGTGTCTGAGTTAGTAATCCTGCTATTTTATTTTATTTTCATGAGGCTGACGGGCACACTCAGAACCGCGACCAAAAATAAATCAGATATAGAATCCGTTTGTGCGTGTACCTCTATCGACTATGAGGGACCTTGTAGATATATTTGAATGCCTCGGCTGGTTTAGGGCTGTGTCTTGTGTCGGCCCTTCCTTGCTCGATAATCTCTTGGATCACTAGTGATATCGCCTAGTCTAATATGACGGTGCATCTTCCAATCAGGGAAGGGACAATTACCGTCCACATGCGCAGAGTCATGTCACATATGAATGGTTCACTCGGTAGACATTGCTATTCTCCAGCAACGTCTTCATTTTGCCGATATTCTGCACATCGACCTTTTACTTTGGATGTCGCGTGACAACAGGCCCAACATAACTTTCACTCCATCTCCTCACTTTGACTCGCGGATCCTTCATCTTATGGTTGGTGTACTTTCTCTGGTCCGTCCTCAGATTGTACTCACATGCTTGCCCAGTTGGTGTTGTCTAGCTTTCTCATCGATCTTGGGGCATTTCTGTTGCTACCTTTTTTCGTCCCCCTCCCCATCCTTGTCTCAGTATTTACACAATTTGTTGCATCGTCTGATACAATGCGTCCTGACTTGCTCAACTGCCTGGGAGGTCAATCCCGAGAAACTGCCCACCGCCGCGCTTGCATCCGGGTCGCTCTCGGTCAACGATACAGCTGTGTTTGCGAGCACTTTTCAACTGCCCCACTCGGACATTCGTCCTCCACCTGGCAGCCTGATGACAAACCAAGTGATGTTGCTACATCACTTGAACGCGGTTTGGCGTGCAATCCAGGCCAGTTTACCGCGATTTCCGAGGTAAGAGCATCCGTAAACGGTATAAATTGATAGTTCGGTTCTCCACATATCTGTCAGTCATCTGTCCATACATAAGTGGATCCTTCCAGTCACTTATCCGCCAATCTGCGCCTGTCTGTCTATCCACATACCTGTCTTCCTTTAGTTAGTAAGTCAGCCTGTCTATCCCCCTGTCCTTCAGTTTATTCGCCCATTCATTACACTAGGTGCTCGTATTCCTTTCAGTGTGTCGTGGGTCTACACATAATTGACGCAATAAGTAAATTTATGGGACGAGTAGCGCAACCGGGGGATGCGCTTCCACCTTTATATTATTTCGTATATCTATGAATTTTTGTCATGCAATATAAATGGACAGATAGAGCGTATGCGAAATGACTGCCCGATGTTTGCTGTTCCACTAGGGCTGCCTCTGGGAAATGCCAGTTATGTTGCTACCATTCACGCTCATCCCACTGAACTGTAGCTTACTGGCATAAACAAACCTTTACGGCAACTCACGGATGCCACTCCGTCGAGAGTATACTGATGGACATTGTAGTGACACTTACGAACTCGAACCAATTCGGTTCGTGACTCTGGCTTGTACAGTGAACGACTAGACCATTGGGAAATTAATTCACATCCGAACGCGGACTTACTGGTTCAGCTGACAGTCGATCGATAAATGCCCAATCAGCAGTACGCTGTAGCAACTTTGTGCGGTTGGAGATAACCGGTCTAGTGGGCTGATCAACACGATTGTTTAGCTGATTAGACTACTGAACTGTTTCCAATTGTTATCTGCTTAGATTTACTACCTGATCCGGGCTGCGCTTATTTCGAAGGCAGAAACATATCTTGAGTTAGCTTATTAGCTACTATCTATCTGAAACAGTTGACGGTTTCACGAATGACCGAAATGATACTTCCGCTATCTTTAAAACTCCGGTCGCCTCCTTTGGCAATTCTGAATCACCCATTATGCCGATAATTCACTAGGTTAGATGACCGTATCCCAATCACTATCGCAATTAAAGACTAGCCCTCACCACCCTTTTTCGCACTCGGCACTGCCGTCATCATTTTGGCGGGGACTTTAAATCGGGCGCTGTTTTTTCGCTCCACGTCGTTTTCACGCTCTCTGCTGTATATATATATATATATATATATATATATATATATATATATATATATATATCAGTTTTTAGGAGTATCCTGGCAATTTCTTCGTTCAAGCTATTTCCAAGGTCACTGAGACCGTCCCACTCCATCAATCTTTTGCATACAAGGCCGTGTTACTGCACACGAATCGTGATTTGCTACTTTTAACCGCGAAATTTTAGGGCAATCAGAATCAATTGTGAAGAAAGGATTCAGTAAAACTACGCTATCGATTATGTGCACATTCCTGGGATTTCGCCCGATTATTGCTCGGACATGCACGGTCGTTTACTAAAATTACAACTGTGCACCCAGCTCACAACTGATTGGTCGAGTATTTGTCGATCGATCGCCAATACTCATCACGTCTGTACAGGGACGGAATACACGGGCCCCAGCGCATCATGATTTTGTTTTGGTCACCGTTCGTCCGTGTCCGGAGTACTGCTGCTCATGTCGAGTTGCGGATAGGTCTACTGCGCGCGTACTTGGATACAACACACCTTTCCCCCTTCTTTATCCCTTTTTGTAACATTTTGCATTTTTGTTGACGTCATGTCGTGTCATGTTGACGTCACGTCCATCTGCAGTATATAATGTGAAATGCTTAAATGCACTCATCCGGACACATTACTTTTATTTTGATTTGACTTGATTCATCTTAACTCATTTAACTTGTGCGTGCTTGTATTATAAAGCATAGCATTTCGGTCATATAGCTACTGTCTAGTACTCATTTCTCCTTACTGACTTTTTTCTTCCTTGTCTTTCATTCCCCCGCTTGCACTTTGTACAGCGCACTCATCCGTGTATTCAGCTCATTTCGGACTGCGTTGGAACCCATACGGGGTCCAGAATTCTGTGATAACCTTGTTTCTGCCTGCATCTTTCTGCGGTTGATTTGCCCCGCTCTACTCTCCCCGTCGCTTTTCGGTCTGGTTACCGCTTTCCCCAGCGAACCAGCATGCAGACGCAACCTGACGCTTTTAGCCAAATCACTACAATCACTGGCTAATTTCTCCGCTTTCGACGATAAGGTAAGTCAGGTGTGATGAGTTCCGAGGCTCATTATGCACAGTGCACACACATACACGGGGACTTGTTTCGACTCTCCACTTTTCTTCCTCTATCTTCATGTTTCAGGAGCCTTTTATGCGTTTTCTCAACGGCTTCGTCTCATCCCAGTTACCCGCAATGCGGCGTTTCATTCGTGGTATCTCGCGTTGGCCTTCGTCCGATGCGCACCTGGATGATTTCGACACAATGCATGGGCTACGCGATTTGGTCGACGAAGGCTATGAGTTGGCCCACTTGCATGCACTACTTTCCGATCTGTCTTTCGGTGGTAGTGGAGGTGGCGACCACTGTGCTGGCAGCGAGTCGATGTCGAAGGTCTCCAACGGTGGAGTAAGTCTATCGGAATCGCCATAGGAGCAGTCGGACCTGAGGCATAAGAGCGCCATTGACCCAGTGACTGGAATACAAAATCACGACGACAGAAAGTGGCACATACTAGGATACCGTTCTATTGGATTTCGGGTTTATAACAGCCCCTCGAATGTAATTTGCTCCTGGAATTAAAGATTGTTGAATTGCAGTTATCTTACAGACGTTTCTGAGTAAAAACGGCGAATCCCGATGGAGGCGCACCATTAACGTTACCCTGAAGGTCGAAACGGCCGTCTTGTGCTCTTCTGGGCATATGGGGGGACTATCTGGCTTAGAGGCTACTGCGACCAAACCCGCATGTGTTTACATCGCAAATCCCCTACTCATGAGTTTGGATACCACCTCTTTGCCTACGCTCTAACATAGAGAATGCAGTGGAAACGGCGTGATTTGGGTTTTAAAAATAGCGGTTGCAAGCGGAACTAAACAGGGCAGCAATTTGGCAGGTATCTGTTAAAAAATTGATACACCTTGTTTTTGTTCCAGTGAAAACAGTGCCGACAGCGGTTATACACGTTGAGTATACCGCTCCCCTCAAAATGCAACAATTGCAGGACCCCCATCCAAATTGATTAATTTCAAAACGGTCCATTATCTTTCATGCAGTCTGATGAATTGTTACTCTTTCGTTTACGTTTCACCCATCGCTACTCCGCTAGCCTTAATCGATTTGCCAGATGCTACTCGTTCTCTGTTGCTGTGCGACTTCATCGCATCTCTTTACACTCCGGTGTGTGTTGTCGGTGCTAGTGGTTTGAAGGTGATCCGATCACCTGCGATGGTTGGTTCCTGTTTACTTAGTCGAGAATATCTAGTTCATGAGTTCCCGCTAACTGTCTATCTCTTCTTCCTCCCTGAACTTTGTGATTCCATCATACAATCACCTTGTGAACTTTTGACACTCTTTTTTCTGATCTCTGTGTTTTTCCATGCTTCTTGGCTGACGTAGTTGTGTACTAGAAGATTGGAAATTGGAGCAGACCTCGATAAACTGAGACATCTCAACTCATGTTTACTCGCGCCATTGACCCACTGAACACAGTGATTCAGCATTAACCGCCCACTGTACTACCAGCAAGCTGTAGAAGAATCCGGATTGATTTCATGCATGAGGATCTCTGTGTATCACTCATGCAGGGCTGTCTGCATTACTTCCTTTTGTGGGTTGATTGTAATGAATAACTGAACTAATTCCTCACCCTCACTCCCAATCAGCAGGCTTAGGCTATTCTGGAAAAGCACCAGACGCCGACGTTTCGACATTCTTGCTCACGTCTGTGGTGCGCCTTCCAGCGGAACCTGTCAGGGTTCCGCCTCCATGACTTCAGGATGCCAACATCTAGTGCCACTTCGCCATGGGTGACAGTCGCGGACCTGCGTGATTGACAGTTGACTATGATATAACCCTACTCATCTTCCACTGCCATGCCATTTGCGAACTGTGCAGTGGACAATGGCTAGTCCCACAAGAGTGGACTTTCCGCATAGCGCCTATGCACCAAATAGGACTTAGAAGCTATACGGACAGATTTTATAATACTAATGGCGAACTGGCACTAGCTTCTGGCATCCTGAAATCATGAGGGCGAAACCCGGCAAGGTTCCGCTGGGAGGCGCACCACTGACGAGACTCAGAAGGTCGAAACGCCTACGTCTGGTGCTTTTCCAGACCCTCCTAAGCCTGCTGATTGCGAGTGACGGTGATGAATTAGCTTAACTATACCAAAATCCTCACTACTACACATTAGTATTGTAATGGATAATATCACTGTGCGCATTCTGAGCTTCCTTCTGCAGGACGGACTGATTCGGTGCGCACCGCGCTCTCATCGTCATGGAAAGAGCTGCACGAGAGCTCCCATTCCAATTCAACAATGCATAACGTATTGTTTATCTAACCGTCCCGCCCATAGTTTCTCATGTAAGTACATTTTTACGTCTGCAACTTCCGACGGCACATCCCGGCTAATCGCGCGGTTCAACACCTTTAATGAACTCTAGGCACGATCTGTGCGATTTCTTACTCTTCCCATTCACCCCCGCACACCCGGTTGATTCCCGTTATCTGAATATAACGCTATTTTTACTCGTCTCGTCTATCTGTTCTTCTCGTGCAGACTTCCCTCCCACCCAGCCTTTCCGAGTTGCCTCACGTTTTAGACGAGTTGTCCAGCTTATTACGCAGCAACGTGGCTTCATGCGCTCAAAGTCTCTTGAACATCGCCGGCCATCATCTCCAAGCGGATGAGCCTAACGACCGATTACACTCCACTCTGCCGTCGAATATGCCCAGACGTTTGTCCGAACAAGTCCAAATGACCCAAACGGACTGCCGTCTGTCCACACGCAACCACGACGGTCTGTCACCGGATTACGCCTATCATTTACCAAAAACCTACTCTCCCGTCCCCTATTACACCCTACACAATAATCCCGGATACCATGATGCCAAAGTGCAGAAGTCCACTTCGGTCAATATTTTATCCGCTTCGACCGAATTGACATCTGCGGGACAGACGGGCGTTTCCATATACAATCCAAACGACTACGATGAACCATACGCTAGCCCTCATTCGGAGCCCGAGGACGATAATTCATACAGACGGACTAAGTCCCCACCACCACAGTTGAATTCGCCGCCACCCTCCACATTGTGCATCGACGGAGTGAGTCCGTTGTCCGCGATCTCGCTCGTTCTGTCTGCCTCGGTGCGCTCACGTAGCACCTGTTGTCTGCTTTATATTCCTTACCTACCCATATAGTCCACCTTATGGCATGTGTAAGTGTGCGTGAGAGTGTACTTGGTTGCATTATTTTTTACGCCGATTTCTAGAAATTCTCCTACTTCTTACTCCCGACTTGCTTAACCATCTCATCCATTCGCATTCGGCGATGTTTATAAATTCGGATCTCTCTGTGCAACGACAAGTTGCCATCTCGCCGATCCCCTCACCGGACCGAGAGATGGGGAACCGCCTGATCTTGATCCGGTCGGACCTTGGCAATAAGCATGCTGTCTGATGCGCGATTTCATTAGCTTTCGGCTGGGCCCCGGTAACACGCTCACAAGGTCTGTCCCAAGCACGATTTGAGGCGAACACGCGCGCGTTGGCACTCAGCTTTCCCGCCCAGCTGTCAAGAAGATTATTCAGCTAGGCAGAACAAATCAAATAAACTGGAACGAAATTTATCTAGTTTAAAAAGACTTTGTTTTAGTTTAAGTTGTTTACGGTGAAGAAGCATCAAGAGTGCAACATCAGCCTCAGCATGGAGAGTCCTGGGCTTTCAGCGACTTGTGATGACGAAGTCCTTACAGGTCGTTGACCCGCTGCGATCATAACGTGTCCACAGCACAACATGCTTCCCATGCTGCCTTGCTAATAGCCAGGCATCGAGATGATTGGAACCGGTCTCCGGTTTGTACTTGGCTTTAGGCGATCTCTCCTCAAGCATGCATAAGGGAAGTATTGTTGTTTGCGCTTGGACGCTCGTCGACAGGTAACCTTTTCCCAACGACTAGCTTACTGTTGCATTGTACACCCGAGTACCTTTGAGGTAGGAGTGAATATATATGGCTCAGGTTGTTCATTTGTCAGATGAATTGCTCCCTTTGCTTGACAATTCTGTCGCAAAGGTTTCGTCACCGATCGAGTTGACATCATTAGTGCTTTGGTGTGTAGCGTAGTTTTTTAGGAGCTCAGCTATCTGTAATGGGGGCGAGATATCAGCCCGACATTAATGTGTAGATCACAGACCTGGTCAATTCTCAGTGAAGACATTAAACGCTTGGCCGTGTTTGACTACCGTTGTATACATACGTAAACACGGACGCAGTTAACCACTGTTCTGTTTGAAGGACCCGGGAAACAACAGAGTGGTGCACGATCTATATGATTATATGCTTTCAGTACCAAGTTCTTATGCTTCATAGTTGCTTCAGTGTACCGAATCGGATTGACGAGTCCGGAAACGAGAAATTCATGGTCTGGCTGATTCCGACCACGATGAATTCCATCTGAGCGGTTGGCATCCCCTTTAATTATTGAGTAACAGTTGTTCCCGAGAATGCACATTGCGATCACTTCCGCTTTGGTTTGCACTGTTTAATTAGACATAGTGCAGTTGTGTGTGTGTCTTGAAGCCGGAACGTAGAGATTGCTGGCGCTGACACCAAACTACTGCTGAGCTCGTCAGTCGCCCTTGCAGTCAAAACTGCTGATAGAAACCCGTCGTTGGTTTGTTAATGCGATTCCACATTGGATTGCAGCATGCAACCCCAATCTAGATTTCTATCATTTCAATCATTAGAATGGTGTCTGACGTGCGCAGTTAGAAGTTGCCCAAACCTAACACTACATTTCACGACTGTTGTTCAGGCTTGCTATCACTCCACAGCTGTAGGTAATATATTCGCAAACAACGCTGTAGTTTTTTCATTATAGCGACGAACCAGGCTGTGGAAAATAGACCGCACACCTTTCCACGTATTCATGTCGAGCATAGACTTACACGGTAGCACATAGAGGCACAATTTTTTTCTTGCCTTACTTTTGAGATCCTCACACAACTGCTAGAATGCGCTGTGTAAGTGAGTTTATCGTATCCACTTATCGTCTCCACTAATTGTGTAACGCCTTTTGGTTGCGGAGTTCTTGGATTAATAAGCCGTCATTCTTGAATGCCAAATGGCATTTAAAACATGTATTCCCATGATTGTATTTTTGGGGCTCCCAGTTGTTGTACACGAGGTGGTCTATAGTCAGCCGGCGATTCAAAAGGAATGTTGGTCGATGTTGAAGTGTATGAGGTGTTTGAAAGAATAGTCGATACAGCTGGTGATATTATCAGCTGACCGGAAGGTTGTGCAGTAAAATGTGAAAGGTACACTACAAGTTCAACCGTTGTGTAGATAGCCCAAGACTGTTCTGCTCCTAGAAATGTCACTAGTGGTGTCGTTCAGAGAGGCACAGTGGATCCATTGCTATCCCTCATTTACATGGACGATACATGTTATAGCATTAAACATGGGCGCCCATTTTCATTTGCGGACGTCTCCAAACTATTGTACTTATTTCTGCCTGACCATCTGAAACTATGCCTTAAACTATGCCTGGTGACTTATCATCCCTAAATAAATGGAGCGAAAGTAGGTCAATGAGGTTTTCGGCAGATAAATCTCTGATACTCTACCACAGATGCAATCAGAAGAATCCATCACTCTTACTGATCTCCCCATCCCAACTGCGTATTCTGTTCGAGACCTGCAAATTCGATACTCCAGCTGCTTAAAATTCTCCGAACACATTCTACATCAAATGGCGAAAGCGAAGCAACTAATAAGCTACATTACTAGGTCATTTTTAAAATCCCAAATCTCAAACTCATAGTTCAGCTCACTCTAGTGTACTGCACAGTCATTCATAACCACCTATTGAAGACATAAAAATGCTTGGGAATAACGTCCAGCGTTCCTTTTGCAAAATGCTTATGGTGCGCTCATCAACGCTTACATATTAGGAACAATGTTCTGACCTCTAGCTCAACCCACTCTGACTTTAAAGGCTGAAAAGCATTCACACTCTTCTCTACAGTATAATATACTCGCAAGTTTTCTCAACCAGTGCGGCCGTCGCTTTACATAATGACTCAACCTGTTCCACTCGTAATGGGAAATGTCTGTATTCTTACCGAAGGTCAAACAAAATATCCGTTTAAATTTCTTAGTGAGATACGTCCATCTGTGGAATAGACTACCGTTACAATTAAGGACCAGCGAGAGCCTGTTTGTATTTACATCTCATTTAAAAGCTTTTATTTCAAAGCCAAATGTGGTCATACTTTTCGGCCTTCAGCAATCTACCAGTGAGGTCACAGAATCCGGCCCAGAAAAATATGACACGCCGTTGTTTTATTGATTAATATTGAATCAAAAGCTAATAAATGAAATGCTGCTGAAACCCACTGCGCAAACGATAGTTCCACAAAACGAAACTTATTCCGCCTGTCTGGAAATATGCCCATTTATGCATTTATTTGGTTATTTATTTATCTATAAATATGGGAACACCACCCACAGCTTTCCCTTACTTGTTTCGCTCATTCTTCTGAGTCTGCTCGTACTTAATTCAACTCGAGCTCGTTGTGCCTGCGTTCACAGTTTGGGACGGGTTTTCAAACTGTACTTGTTGATCCTAAAGGTTTGAGAGCAATCTTTTTGGTGTTATTGGTGATTAACATTCCATCCAATGGACCGCAAATGCTTCGACGGGCCTGGTGAGCCACTTCACCATTTATATACCACCTTGTAGCGGTTTTTGTGCCCTGATGAGAAAGACTTGGTGTTTTCTCGTGTAGAGAGATTGCATGCATTTCAAATACAGCACACAAAACCGGCTCTCGAATTTTGTTATCACTAACGGGGAGGGTTGAGATTTCCTTGTCTCATAGGTTAGTTGCCATGATCAAGAGCGAGTGAGGTGAACTGATTGAATTTACAGAATGCACATTAACAATTTTGATCCGATTGCTCCGCCGCTCGCGGACAGATGGATCTGGATTGAGAGGCCATCAATTGCAATACTGTATTTGATGTCCCCCTTAAGCCGTTCCCCCTCTGACCGCATCACGGGATAACAACTTGGATTGTCACTGGAGTCAAAATCCCGTCCGTGTTGTTTTTGTCACCAACATCGCCTCAGTGTATCCAAATCCCCCTGGTTCCTGCACATTTCAGTCATCAGCTATTGATTGGACCATGTTCTTGGTGTGCATGCGCACTGGCTCCGATTACTTCCTTCATAATTCGTCCAATTTCCTCCTCTTTCTGTCCCATACCGGCGGGATGGCCCCTGTTGACTTGTGGTTCTGTGCCAGCTCCATCGCACAGTTTACGAGGGGTGTTTCTGTTCCTGGCTTTCTTTGAGACTGAGTACGTGCGGCTATTAAAACAGCTGTTTTGCCAGACTGCTTTTTCCATACGGTGATCTGATAGACAAGAATGGGCGTCTTTTGTGATGATGATGGTAATAATAATAAGACGTATCTTTCTCTTGATGTAAGAAACTGTGTCTATAGTGGCAGAGATCAATTTGTACAGAAGAATCCATGCTCTTGCATGGGTGACATGCATAGTTGGAGTATTGGAATATGCGTTTCATGTATTAGCATTCTGGTGGATGCTTGAGGCCAAAGCCTAGTTATGAAAACTTTGGTGTTCATATGTTTTTGGGCCACTCTTGGAATAGCTCATCGATGAACTTTTCCCATATGAATACAGAGCTTAGGGTGTCTGTTTCTAAATGTTGCGACGTTGTCGTATGATCTGAGCGTTATTGGTAGTTTATTCCACAGATACCTATATCTGGCCAGGAAGAAATTATAGCGGACGTTGTTCTAGCCTTCGATATATTCAGTTTAACATCTTTGTTACGACGCGCTTGAGTTGAATTGTGTAGGCAGGTTGGAATAGGTCTTTTTGTGTAACATGTTGAAAAGCAGCAACAAGTTGGGCTTCAATCGCCCAGTCCAAAGTGGTGCGAGATGAAGTTCATTGCAGCGTTCTCGATAACTCACAGCAGAGTGTTTACCAAACAGATGTTTATTAAATGATCTCTGCAGGTGCTCCACAGCAATTCTGTCACTCCTTCTCATATTGCCGTATATTATGTTGCCCCTTCTGGACTCGTTGATAGTGCTCACCAGTTCGGCCCCTATTGGAGGTTATGTAATGAGGTTTGAGCAAACGACCGAGTCTGGTCGGCCCGACAGGCTAACCACATACCATGGAACACAACAAATTCGCCCGAGCGAGGAAACCTTAAGCAACTGGACGTTGACCAATCACGTGGAACGCGGCAAACATGCCAATAGCACGTTACGCGTATCTAAAAGCCAGAAGAACAGATTGCTCAGCTAAACGATGGATGAGCACTGGCGACTCAAAATCGCTATTAACGAGAGACCGTCTGCGTACCAGCCTAGGATCAGCGTTCCGAAGAGATACGATCAACCTGGTACCAACCATAGAATACAGGCGACTTCGATACGCAGTTCAGCGATGGAGCAGATGATGGGACTTCCATTAGACAATAAAACAGAAAGAAAGAAAACGCAGCCAATGAGGCTAACCAGAAGACAGACTATCCAGTGAACTAATGCGAAAGCAAATAGCGTAGTTTTCTATAAATATGTGAGGCCTCTGGCAATAAACGACTCTGCTAACCGCCACCAGGAGTTCGCTATTGATTGTCGTCGAGTCTCACAAGAGGTTGAATTTGGAATTTTTCTTAGTGCTATTTACCACTATCATTAGGCCTTGGGCCCGGCATTCACTGTTCGAACTGAGTGGCTAATTAGGGTGGGGTTTCTTCTTCTCTCTCTCTTTCTGTCGCCACTTCGCTGACATAGTTGGTCCTCCTCTGAGACACCTTTCCTCGTCCTGCGCATGTAACCACCTTATGCCATTCATACACTGGCTTGAGAAGTTTCTGCTTTCCGAGAATGTGCTCCTACATTCAACATAATTGTTTTTGATGTCCATGAGAATTTGCGATATTTTCTTGGGCCACCGATTAGTTATTTCCATGTTCCTCGCCTCTTATTTGTGTTTTTACACCATTTTAACTTTTTCCTTTTACCCAGCCAATTTCCACAAATTTGCAGGAGCAAACGATTGTCAAACAATCCAACAATACTACCCGGCGGACATCGATCCCAACTGTACCCCCGTCACCGTCCAACAGTACCCCTGCGCTGACGTGTACCGTTAATGAAGATGATCATGTCTACGACTTCGTGCCACTTTCAGGTGCCTCCTCCACCGACGATCTCGTCCAAGTCAATGAGAAGTATCTGAAAGACTTTCGGAACGGTTCGCCGCATCTGAAGGTTGGTACCAATTTCAATCCCCTCACCAATGGTTGCTACATGTTTTCTTTTCACCGTTTCCCCTACTCTCTTTCTGAGCACCCTGTCGCCAACTTCTGGTTACTTCTCTCAGAATCAGCAACGCCGAGGTTTCGCCTGTTGATGTCTGTATTGAGGTCTCTGTTGGACTTGAACCAAATGAACCGGTGTTGATCCATCTTTCTCGCATGTCAGTTGGCCATACGTGCCGGTGTTTAATCTGCTCCTGTTTGCGTGATGTGACAGAGTGACTAGCTGGTCGGTGAATTGCAGCTTGCGTCTTCTAGGTCGGTGTAGAGATCTTGTAACGAAAATCCCTGCATAACTTGGTCCATTTGAGAGTTCAGCGTCACTTAAGGCAGTACGCCGTTACGCGGTACCGACGCTTCGCTACCGCGCAGCCATTACCGGCCGCATGTGAGCTAAGGATATTGCGAGGGTCGCCTGATTCCTGCGCAGACTCGAACCCGCACCTTCCGCTTACAAAGCAGGCTTGTGTTTCTTTAGGCTATGGGTTGGCGTCACTTTACACTCCATCTATGTGGTCGTCAAACTATTCTAACTTATCATCTGCTGTCATGTCGGTACATGGACGTTGGCAGTCAAGGCAACCGCATTTCGGCGCCTGAATCGGGTTTGCCTTATTTGAACACTTTCCCTTAGCATTGATTAATCAAGCTCTCATACAGATTCCCACAAGTACGATGGCCTTGTGTTCTGGGGCCACTCACCAGCTCGGGCGAGTTCAGCTATCCACCTGAGAACCGGTCGAAAATTTTCCTATGCAAGGCGTACACATGGTCCATCGAGAACATGCTGCACTTCAACATCACCAAGTGCAAAGTTCTCAGCATACGACACAAGAGTACGCACAAGTACCGCCTAGGACCACCAATTCTACAGCGGGCTTCTCACGAGTGCGATCTCGGCGTGATAGTTCAAGATGACCTCGGTTGTTTGAGACAGACTGAAAAGGCAGCTAAGAAAGCAAACCATTACCTTGGCCTTCTTCGCAGAGCTTTCGGGAAGTTTGACCCTTCTATCTTTCCAAACATGCTTAGTACGTACGTGAGACCGCACGCGGAATACGCTTTCAAACGTGGCAACCCTGGCTCAAGCACCATCTCACCGCGCTCGATACTGCACAGCGTAGGGCAACGAAGAGCGTCAGAGGTTTGGCCAGCCTCCCCTACCCACTCGGGCTGAAGACCCTCAAAATATACAGTGGACGTTATCGGCGTCTAAGGGGCGATCTCTTAATGGTGTACCAGATCCTGAGAAGCCCCAATCGCCCATGCCATTCCGTTCTGATACTCAGTCAAAACACCAGCTAAGAGGTCTTCAGTTTAAGTTAGTCACGCCGTACAGTCGCTTAGAATGTCGGCGAAACTATTTCTCCCTTCAGGTGCCACAGCCTTGGAACGCCCTTCCGTAACATGTAATTAATGCACCCACCCTTTTCAAAGAACGCCTTAACGATACTGTCACATCTGCGCTACGTGCTATAGCCCAGATGCTGGCACTAATGCACAACAGACAATGGATAGTGCCAAAACCCTACTGGAGAATGAGTCACTCCAAACGCCTTGCATAAAATTTGATAAACGCTACTACTATAGAAACTGGATTTCTGTATCCTGTCAACCCAAGATAGTTGTACACGATTAAGCGTTGTCCTTGCCTTTTTTTCTTTTTTTCTCTCGCATATTATGTGACCAATAACGACTCCCCTTATTGCTTTGTGTGCGTACATTCTCATTTCAAACTCCCTTTATACGACAGTGCAGTTACATCTGTAATCGCCCAAACTGACGACTCCATTATCCCTTGATCTATCTTTTTTTCACGCTAAACACCCTACGGGACATGTCAAGCACCTGTTTTTTACCCGTTACAAATCATTGTTCATTGTACACCTACGTGAAGCGGCGCCTGATGCCTGCAGGCAATATGCCAGTTTTGGAAGGCTCGGATAGACAGCTCCTAACCTCGAGCACAGATCGTGCGTCCGCATTGGCGGCGCACTTCGCTTCTGTATTTGCAAATGACTAGTTGTCTGTAACGAGTTCGACGAGTACCGCTCCCACTGAACTAGACAGCGTGGATTCCTGCATTGATGATGTACGCAAGCTTCTGTCAAGTCTTGACGGGACAAAGCCTGTCTGGCCAGATGGAATCCACCCACTGGTCCTCAAGTCCCTATGGACAATTACCTCACCTCCTGTAACTGAGCTGTTCAACTTGTTTCTATCCACTGGACTATTACCGAGCGACAGCAAATGCTCAGTGCTGGAGCCAATTCCTGAAGGTGGTAACCCAAGTAAAGTAGATAACTACCGATCGGATCGTTCTAGGAACCAATGATGAAAGTACGACAAAGCCGCTTTTGCGACAACTCAACTTATCGCTCCAGCAGTGCATTGATATCTGCAGCATTGTGTCCTCGATCACCTAACAATACCAACAAATGAAGCTCGCAACAGATTCAGAATTGTGTGCCGTTTCCGGAGGCGAAGCACCGAAGGCTATTACCGTGAAACCGGAGATCTACAAATTTCGCGCCACGCGACCTCCGAGCACTCGCAAACAGTGTCCGGCGTGGGGACCTAAACGCGTCAGATGTGGAAAAAGGAACGACTTTGCTCGTTGCTGTAAATCAACCAATGTGAGTGCGGTCGTTCGTGACAAGTCCCCCGCAGATGCAGAACATTCAGTTGGCAACATGTCTCAGAGGGTACTGCAAAAATGTATCTACGCAAGTCTTTTGATCGAAGGCAAAGCCGTACGATTCCAGGTGCTACCGTCAGCATTCTACCAAGGAAGCACAGTCCCGAAATGTGCATTCGATCCGATCAAGATTGCCTGCGTATGTGGAATGGTCCAACATTTCATCTGAAGGGCTCAGCTAAAATCGAAGTCGGTAACCCAAGAGATGGAGCCTCACATCCACTGGAGTTTGTGATCGTGGAGGAGGAGCTCACACCGATTCTCGGCATTGATTCGATCAAGTCTCTCAGTTTTGTTATTTTTAATCATGGTCGTTTTGTGCTAGTTTGCCAAGGAGAAACCGATATTAATGACCAGTATCCGTTTGTGTTTAGCCCAAGTTTGGGAAAGTTTGAGGGAACCTATCACTTATCCTTGGGTTGTTTGATACGACCGACAGCTCTACAAGCTAGGTGAGTTCCATTCGCACTGCGTGACAGGTTCGCCGCTGAAGTGAGCTAATTAGGGAGAGAGGGTGTGATTGCCGAAGTCGACGAGCCAAGCGACTGGGTTAGTCGAGTCGCAACCATTACGAAGAAGACGGGCGAACTGCGTTTGTGTATTGACCCAAAACCGTTGAATGAGGCCTTGCGTAGAGAGCATTACGCGCTACCTACCTTAGAAGACATTTTGCCTCGTTTGGCCATAGCTAAGTGCTTCACGAAGGTAGACCTCTCTTCGGCATTCTGGCACGTGGTTTTAGATGATGAATCCAGTTTTCTTACTACCTTTGCAACACCGTTCCGACGTTATCGTTGGCTGTATTTACCGTTTGGCTTGAAGGTGTCGTGTGAACTTTTTCAAAAGCGATTGGTGCAAGTGGTGGTTGACCATTTAGATTATGTGACATGTGTCGCAGACGATGTTTTGATCTATGGCTCAACAGAAGAAGAGCATGGCGCTAATCTCCACTGCTTTTTACAGCGTTGTATGCGAAAGAACATCAAACTTAAACGTGCGAAAATTGAACTTCGGAAAGGCGTGATTTTCCATTAGCATTTGTTAACAATACAAGGGGTCAGGGGTCTAGGAAAGATAAGGAAAGGAAAGGAAAGGAAAGAAAGGAAAGGTCTAGGAAAGATAAGGCAATTCGAGAGATGCCGCCTTCTAATAACGTGAAGGGGATCCATCATTTAAACGGAATGGTGAATTACTTGCGGTGTTTTACGCCAAAACTCGCTGATATCATGACGCCGATCAGGAAGTTAACTCACAAAGGAGTAAAGCGGAGTTGGGGAAAAAACCGAAAACCGCATTCGAAATTATTAAGCACATCATCAGCAACACGCTTGTATTCCGGTATTGCGATCCACCGCATCCTTTGGTGGTACAGTGTGACAGTAGCCAAGACGGAATAGGTGCTGTTCTCCTACAGAATGGAAAACCTTTAAATTTCGCAGTCCTGCACTCACCGTGACCGAGCAGCGCTATGAGCAGATAGAGAAGGAGATGCTTACCGTATTCTATGCCATGTGTGATGGTAAGACACTACATTTAGATGCCCGTTGCATAGCGATCGGTCGAGCTTAACGATTTTGGGCCAACAGTCTGGAAGCGGGTCGATCGCTGCAGCGGCGAACTGAAGGTTAGCATGCAATCGATTTGGATCGACATTGAACGAAACTCGAACGCTGGCTGAGAATGTAATAGAAAGGAGATTTGTTCTGCGAGTGATTCTAATTGACTCGAGATATAAAATGATTTTTGCGTTCTATGAATAATGAATTTCTGATCGAGGCCCAGACTTTGACTTTTGATGCACGGAGGGCCACTTTACATGGCGACAGAGGACAAGAAGACACGCCGAACCCCGCATGCGTTTGGTGGACAACCAACGATTCCGCTGCCAGCTCCGTTGCAAATGACCGAGAGTTCGTTGCCGGAGAATTGGAGAATATGGAAGGCGAAGTGGCTAGACTTTGTAACACTGACTCAGTTGGATTCTCAGCCAATGGCCTATCAACTGGCGATGTTCAGGCATGCCATTGGAGACGAAGCCAGGCGGACGCTGCAAACGTTGGATCTCAGCGATGGAACTCAGGAGATGGAGCTGGATGAAGTAATACGCAGATTCGGCGAGTTTTGCGAAGGTTACACAAACGAAACTTACCAAAGGTATCTGTTTTTCAGCCGAAATCGCCTGCCGGGTGAATCAATCGACGCATACATCACGGAGCTGAAAATTCTGGCGCGGGATTGCAATTTTTGCACCTGTT